ACTAGCTAAATGTGGCTACACATTTTCACAATTACACATCAGTCTCAGTTAGACGTCTGGTGTGGTTTATTTATTTTTTAATAAAGTTTTAATTTAATAAAGTTTTTTTAAAGTTAGTTCGTAAGGGTCCTCGGAAAAAAAAGGGGTTTTCATAACAACACAATCCAAGTTGTGAGTACCATTTTTAACAGGATAAAGTGGCGTTGTGTCGGTATACCGGGTGCCATAATCCTCTGTCGGAGCTACATCAAATGAGCGATTCATAATTGATTTATAATCTGAAGCCTAATTTTTAAATAAGTATTATTCATACTGGTTTAAATAAACAATTTGATTATATTTCCTGATTTTGGCTGACAGTTTTGTGTGAAAGTAATTAAAGGCCTGTCCCAAATATAGGCCTGTTGATTTCAGTGATTTAAGCAAATAATAGCCCGGGCTATTAATTGAACTTTAACAGTATGCTATTTTGTGATCCTACCTTGGACAGCGCTAGGGGTTTCTTATATATGCATAACTGAAGTGAACAGCTAAAACATTTATTATGTTTCATGATGCAACCTATTTTAGGAAATCAGTAGTTTGAAACTAGCTAATAGTCTCTAAGATGCTTCAAATTTAGGGGGTGATCACACAGAAATGAGACGCTAGAGACGCGTACGCTTCAAAGACGCTTGAAACGCTGGAAGCGCTTATTCAATGCACACTAGCTACTGGCGTCTGACGCTCAAAAAAGTTGAAAATATTTTAACTTTTCAGTGTCTACGTGCGTCTAAAAACGCACGTCTACAAAAACGCGCGTCTAAAAAGATGCTGGAAAAACGCCCGTCTAAAAAGGCACTTGAACGCCAGTCAGACGCGCTGTATCGTAGGAAAACAATGGTTTTACTGGCGTCGCGTTTCTAGCGTTTCATCTCAGTGTGATCGCTCCCTTAGTGATGGAGTGATGTTAATGGATTTATAAAAAGCTAGTGCAATATAATCCTGCAAAAGTTAGCTAAAGTAGACTTAGCAAAATATAGCGTACTTTATGTATCAAGAGTAGTCATTATGCAGCTTGAAAAGCCCCCATTGTTGCATGTCATCCCCCCTCTCTCTATCTCACCTGTCTGTATTAAGCTGTACTATCAATTAAAGGGGAAATACCCAAAAAATAATCTTAAAAAGTGTCAAAGTCAGCAAACTGTTCTGTTTTTTTAGTGGTGAATTAAACTTTGCGCTGCAAGCAGACAGGTAAATTAAGTAAGTTAACAACCAGCTGGTGAGCATTGAGCAGCTAGAGAGCCAGATTATTTTTCACAGGATCTTTGGAAACTGTATAAGGTCATCATTGAGCGGCAACATCTGGGGCTGAAAAATTAAGCCAACATGGAAGCGCAAAATACTGCACTTCCTCAAATGGCCACTTGAGGCTGGCTCCAAATCAGAGTCAATCCCCGTTGACCCCCATATTAAAATTCCAAACTTTGTAGCAGAAAAAAAATCATTTTCACAGCCTGTTACAAAAACTGTATTGGTCTCTATGGCTAATTTCCCTCTTCATGGCAACTGTACAGAGGGCGAATCTTTATGTAACTCACTTGTTTACATTTTATTCAGGCTTAAAGTTACGCATAATTAAGGGCAGGCGTCTTTGAGTGACAGGCTGTCATAGTGTCCTCAGCTTCTCAGTTACATCCACTATTCGCTCCTCCACAGTGCCAGCCTCTCGCCCAAATATGGTCACTTCTGTTTCCAAAAAACCCAAGATGGCAACAGCTGAAATGCTAAAAACAGAAGTCCATAAACCAGTGGGTGACGTCACGGAAACTACATCTATTATTTTTACAGTCTGTGGTCATAATTTTTCTGATTTTGTGTTAATAGCTTGTTCTGCTGTCCATGAGTGGCCAAAAAAAAACTACTAATGTAGCGTTACCAAGTAGTTAAACTTTATTTTGTACAGGTTAGTGCAATCTAAAGAATTACGATAGTACAACAGTAAAACAATTAAAGATTAATGCACACAGGAAATAAAAATGTTACAAAAAAAATAAAATAGATAAGAGGAAGTAAAACACTTTAAAACAGGTTCAGTAAAATTGTTACTGTAGCTGGATGTGGTTAAATCACATCAGATCAAATTCAGCTTTATTTCCAAGATGCCTTCTGAACAACACAAAGTGCTTCACACAGAAATTAATAAAAAAGATCAATAAACAAGATGGAACATAACAGTAACAAACAATAGGAAAATAAAAAAGTAACAGGCTTACTCTATGAACAGACCTCAAACCTCAGTGTCCACTTAAAGACACCAAACAGCCATCATCTCAGTGTTTACAGGAACAGCCTTTTAGTTCCCACTCACTGCGAACCACGGACACAAACAAAACAATTAATAATGATAATTTAATAGACAAGATAAATAAAAAGGGTCATAAAAGGCAGCATGGAGGCAGCAGCGTTTAAGATTTATTTGTAATTTTTAATAATGAGGCACGTCTTGACATTTATTTTTGAGGAAACGGTTTGATTCTCCAGCTTTAAAAGATTAAATATGCACATTTCTGGTATGGGTGTAAGCATGAGTCATATTTGATCAGCTGGAATCAAATTTCTTGCCACACCAAAGTCCAGACAGCAGCAGGAGGTGAAGCAGGTCTACGTTCTGGTGCATATTTGGCGTAGTTGTACACCTGCAGAGATGTTTTTGTCAACCGGAGTCCCTCATTCATTGTGTCTTGGCTGCATTGTCTCATCGTCTATTCTAGTCTGTCCTGCAGATGAACTGAACCAGTATGCATTTGTTTCTGTGGCGCTGAATCTCCTGCAGGCAGTAAAACAGGATAAAGCTTCTGTTCAGAGATATTTTCTGTGTTTTTATAATAGAGCTCACCTTTTTTTGCTTGTTTGTAACTTTTAAAATACAACTCCAATTTATTACAACTGGAGTTGTATTCTCTTAGTTTTGTCTATAGTTTTATATTAATGATAATATAATAAAACATTTGATTTAAAAGACATCTTTCAAAACACCCAGGTTCAACTCATAGAGCATACAGCTCAAGAGACATATTGTTGCTGTGATAAAATCAATTAGATATTGGATATGATAACATTGTACTCACTAGTGCTCAGATCCAGTGGTGGAATTTAACGTACCGCATTTACTCAAGTACAATTTTGAGGTACTTAAATGGTGTATTTCCATTCTATGCTACTTTATACTTTTGCTTTTCTCTATTTATTAGGCAAATATTTGTTTTACGGTGTCCATCACTTTACAGATTTAGATTATGAGTACAAAATTTAAATCCTCTTATAAATTATAATGTATTTTTACAGGTTGAGCTACTTAGCAGTATATAAATCCATTAAAATGAGCTCCACCTTTACCAACTGCAACAGTTAGGTGATTAACACATTAATGCATCAATTATTATAATGATATGAGCTTTTCTGCAGATTTTGCACTTTCTTTTTGTATTTTTGAGGATTATTTAACATATGTGTAGATGCCAAAAAAATAAGGTAAAAGGGGGAAAAAATACATATACATACATAAAATATAAACACACAAAAACATATACAATATTAGGAAATAAGCAACAATAAACAATGCTAATAAATTAAAAAAGCAAATTAGAAAAGAAAAAAGAACTTGTACTTTTGGTATTTTAAGTATATTTTGATGCTAAAACATTTGTACTTTTACTTTGTAAGATTTCGAATACATGACTTTTAGGTCTAACAGTGTTTTTTCTTATGGACAAGATCTTAGTACTTCTTTCATCACTGCAGAGATGTGGGAATGAGGTCACTAAAAAAGTCCAGCGGGGCAAAAAACAAACACGAGCAGTCAGATGATCCGGCAAATTGTAAACAAACTCTTGAGGTTAGCCAAACTTATTTGTAAAGGAAAATGAAGGCAAACAGTGAAACTATTACTCAGACTGTTTGTTGTAAACATGAGTTACAGTTTGCAGACTGACTTCCTGGTTCAGCTTTGACGTGCTCAATTAACTGGGGGGTTCCTTCTAACGTTTCAGCTCTCATACTCGTTTACAACCTGTCTGATTGTCTAAACAATCATGTTCCTTCTCCACATCTGACTTGCTGTAGAGAACAATCTCTTAATCATAATCAATAGAAATAACAGCCAAAACTACACAAATAATATTAGAATAAATAGATAAATGTATGGATACATGCCAATGAATATGTTACTCTTACTGAAATTAATAAAAAATATATGTAACTACTGAAAAAATTATCTTTATGTTGTATTTCTTCATTTTCCTCTTTTTTGACTGTTATGCGTTAGTTGATGTCTGTAAAATCTCACTATTACCTACAGTTCAAGGTTGTACTTTCTCAATATATGTATGTAATGCAACAATAAATGTGAATGAACACAGTTAAATAAACTCCGAAATTTGACTTTGGTTGGATACAGTGATGTATAGATGCCAACAGTTAAAAAGCATTAAGGCTGGACATTTATGAAACTGTTGTTGCAAAACTAAACACAGACTCTTCTCGCAATGAAAACAAAGTCTGTAAGACAAATTTATAGATACACAAATCTGCCCTTTGAGGGATTCTGTAAATAATAAATGATGTTGCTGCCGTACAAACAAATAAAAACACCGAACGTTTATCTCGGAGGATAACAAAAATCTCATCCTGCATGCATCGGTCCAGTGAGACAGAACAGACAAGGACATTAACTATGAATGCTGAAATCGTTTGTCACCAAGTGAAACATGTTGTGTGGCTTTTACATAAACAAGGGTTTGTTTGGCGTGTCATGACATTAAGTTACATCACCGCACAGCCATGTTGGGAGTCAACAACATGCGATTGTAATCATATATTAGATAATTGTAATCAAATGATTGCTCGAGCAAACGAGCTGTGTTTATATTGGAAATGCAATCAAGATCATGAGCTCTAAAAATAGGAAGTATGGGACGTGTCTCTCATCGCATCTCCTCTCTTTCCGTTTGGCCCTGCAGGTTTGATTTTCTCCTGTGGTGTCTGTGTGGAGCGTGCCACACACCCACTCCACAACAACGACGGCTTTTGCTTGCATCTTCCAGTGTTTCTTCTGTCAGCAAGTCCAGCAGAGCTGCAACTCTTCCAGTGCCAGCCCTGACACCAGCGAGGAGCCCTGCCCCACTGACATGGTGAAGATGACCAAGTCAAAGACCTTCCAGGCTTACCTGCCAAGCTGCCATCGCACCTACAGCTGCATCCACTGCCGGGCACACCTGGCCAACCACGACGAGCTCATCTCAAAGGTACAGCAGCTCCAGTCCTCCCTGTCCCTGTCCCTGTCCCTGTCACCTTGCAGCATTTCACATGACATTCAGTTGGTCTGTTTATATTCATATACATGAAAAGGCTTTAGGGGGGTTTATAGTCATGTCACAAATCTCCCAGCAGCCATATTTGGTGCCTTCATGAAGGTCATTTGGAGAAAAGTAACACATACATGTAAAAGATATAAAGAAAATGTTGGCACTGTACATTTCTGCAACCCACCAATATGTTACATTTCAGTGCTTCTAAAATGACGTAGTATATGAGCTGACTTTGTCAACTGGAGGCGGAAGAGTTGGTGGATGGCGTGACACAGAGGTGAGACGCCTGACAGTTGCAGACCACTGTTGCAGGCAAAAAAATCCAACAAAGCCGGGTGTGATGTAGCAAGTCATAGCTGTGTTTCCATCTGCTTTTTAAGCATGAAAAGTGTCTTTTTAATTGAGACATTGCTGCTTTTCCTGCTGCTATTTGGCCCCTCAAACTGGGTATTTTAAGGCAAAACATGATCTTTTCCTAACTATAACCATGTGGTTTTTGTGCCTAAACCTGGCACGCTGACCACATTGTTGTTGAAATGTTAAGTTTCAACGTATCTGCTACATAATAGTGTACAATGTAATGTAGCTGTGGTTTGCAGAAGCATACAATGCCATCATTTTTGTTGCTATTGGGTAGTAGAAAGACTGATAAACTGAGTGTAGACACATTAATTATGTTGTCACACCAAAGTCAATTCATTTCAATGGCTGAAATTCAACTAACATTCGATCAGCAACCAAACTGAGGATCGTCTGCACTTTGTCAATTATACGGCTTAGTTTTGTGGTTTGGTCGAGTTGAGCCGTGTCATGCCATGCAGTGGAAATGCAGTGTTATTGTTCTATTAGCGACCAAGCTATCTACCTTGCTAACTGGCGGTTACCTTGACAGTTGTGACTGGCATTAGCACATTTCCGAATGTCTTGCAGTTCGCTCACCAGCTGCAGTACAGTAGTGTGCAAATTACAGTATCTGACATCTCCTACTTCATTTGCAAGGATCACAAGTGCAGCAATGTTAGTGTGAAGTGTTGTTTTAGCTCTGGTTTGGTCTCCACCAACTCTTGACAATGATATCTGGATCTTTAGTTGCTAAATGCTCCATATGTTTACCAGCTAGTCACTAACTTTGTGTGTTTGCTTTTTGGCGCTGGGTGGTTAGTGTACACTATGGTTATTGGCACTTGTTTGTTCGAAAACAGTTACAGTAAATGTGCTGTATTACCTGAAAAACAGAGGCTAAAAAGCAGAGCTGCAAAGTGGTCTTTCTGTGTGTTTGTTTTGAGTGGTGACTCCTTTTCTCCTGTTAAAGCAGCTTCAAAATTAGTGGTACTCATTTAGGAGCAGGCTGAGAAACATAAGCGCACTTTGCTCTCCAGTTTGTCAGGTTACTACAAAGTTCAGCTGTTGCATTAAAAGTTTTATGGCAATTTTATCCAGTTTTTCATTATTCAAATCAAACGCTGATAAATCTCCAGACTTGTCTGGATATTGCCTATCTCGGTCTCATTAATCATCTTTTGCACGACATTATGAGTCATGATGATAAAAATTTGACGGCGTCCTTGTAATATTTTGGAAATGAATAAATCTCCGCTCGGCTAAACTGTGAATTCTTGGCAGTGATTGAGTGTTGTCCTCTGGTATTAGTTGTGGCAAATGTCTCTTTGGATTTGACAGCAATATAATTTTATTTGATGCTCACCTGCCTTATTGCATCTTCGAAGCTCGTGTACCTGTCTGCTCTTGCATCTGTATTTTATTTCTACTGATAAATTCTCAGAGGCTTCGATGACAGCCGCTGCTGGTGTTATTACTGAAGTCGGTTTCTGCGGTCAGTCTTTTAAAGCATGACTGTCTCGGCTATTTTTGTTTCTGTTGCTGTTTTTGAGTAAAATAAAAAAGAAAAAATTAAAGTGCTGCCGCTGAGTCTCACTTAGACCTCAGAGGTTTACTTTCAAAATATGAGATAAAAAGTCAAGACAATCAGGCTTCAGATTTGCCTCACTGCCCACGTTTCTTATGAACTCAAGGAAATGGACTGCATGGTCGTTGTTTTGTTTTTATTTGGTTGTGTTGTGTCCTCCCAGTCATAGGGATACTCAATACTGCTGGACACAGAGCTCGAAGGTGTCCTCAGGGCAACAACCAATGACTTATGTATTAATCTATGGGCTATTTTTTGATTAACTTATTTTTATAAGTCTGTTATTATCAGAAAATAAGCATAAGTGCTTATGGCAGGTTCTCAGTGCCCAAATTGCTTAATGTAAGATAAGATAAGAAGATAAGACCTTTATTTATCCTGAGGGAAACTGTAGTGTAGCGGCTGCAATACAAAGTAGGAAAAAGTGCAAATCCAAAATATATTAAATATATGCAATGCCAAAAAACAGGTCAGCAGTATGGATTATTAAAGCTGGGGTAGGCTGTTTAATTTTGGAGTCACTGGGCAAAAATCCCATAATAGACTTTGAGCATGCTGTATTTGAAGTGGACTGTGAGAGCAGTAGACTTCTGCACCTCCTTTTGGCTCTGCGTTCATGATTTAGGAAATTTAGCCCTAGACGGGAGACTTTGGCCAATCACAGGTCATTTCAGAGAGAGGGAGTTCCTATTGGCTGTTGTACAAATGTACATGTCAGTTGTCTCAGTCTCCTCTGTGGTCGTCTTGTCCGCGAGTCCATCAACATCTCCACGGCTTGTGCAACTGTAAACTTATTCCGTCGGCGTCGGCATTTTCGTGCCGTTTTCAAGCTGCTACATCTCTGTAAACAACATCATCTTCCGGTTTCCAGCGGATCTTCCTTTTGGTTTGTTTTTGGACACGGCAAGATGTGTAGCAGCGCTCCCTATCTTATAACATTCAAAACACGGATTGCCGGAATATCTTGTCAAAGGCAGGAAAGCATTCTGTCACAAATAGCAGAAAATCTTGGCAAAAGCGTTTGGCTGGGATAGTGTTAATAGCGAAGAATCCTGCAGTGAGTTGCTATTCCAGCATTGGCAACAACAGCCTACACTGCAAAGCCAACCAAAAAAAGGAAGGCGGACTTATCAAAGCGAGTCTGACAATTAATAAAGTAAAATACGTGTCAATATTGGTGAAGTGTTGCGGAGATGGAGAGAAAAAGTTGCTAATAGTTCAGCTTATGGACCTTCAGTTTATGTAGCTAACATTAGCTCGAGCCTTGAATCGCGGTGTGTCCTCAGCCTCAGACTCAGCAGCCCCTGAGACGGTACCTCTGCCAGCGTCTGCAGCAACTGAACATCATTTAGTTTACAATGATATAAGATGGAAATAAACTGCATATTCACATACTGAAACTTTAAAATGTTTGGTATTTTATTTGGTAAATCATTTAATATGAGTAAAATTCTTGATTTTTTTTTTTTTTTTTATCAATTGACGTAACATTTCAGTAATAGATGTTGTAGAAGGTTTTTTACACAGAGGTGGTAAATTTTTGGCTTTAAGAAACTGTAAAAAGAGTGAAACATTTTAAACAATGGAGTTCTTGCTCCTCTGGTTTCTCAGAAATAAGACATGTCGGTTGTTTAATGCAGTGTTTCTGTCAGACTGTTGTCAGAGAATCTCATCTCTGTGAGACTGTGACCTGAAGTGAATCCAAATGACATTTTTATTATAAGTGTCAGAAAGTGTCTGGCTGTGCTGGTTTGAATTTTAAATGAGTTCTTCTCAAAGTAATATTCAGTGGTAAATGCCTTAAAGATGCACCAGAAAAGATTTTCAGTATTGCTGGGAACAAATCTTGACATTGAGCTCTGAGTTAAAAGGTCTTTTGGAACATAATGCTCTGTGGCCTATCATACAGGAAGTCTCAAGTGCAAAATGATTGTGTGTAGACTTGTTTCAGCCTTTAAGTGCATTTTCGCCTACTTGTTTTTACACAGATTTTACATTTGCGGATAGATTTTGTGGAAAAGTTGGCATATCAAAAAAGAGGTGATGCTATAAAAGTTGATGGAAACTGTACTGAGACCTTAACGTCACAGTACTTCATCTTCTCTTTCTTCTGCTGCAGACAAAACATTTACATCTTGCTGCCACTCATAATTATAAGCCTTTACTCCATCAGAAAGCCCCGGACATGATAAAAGTGGATGTCGGGGGTGTGCTGCTGCTGGATTAGCTGTGAAACCCTGTCAGGAGCTCTTGAATATCTTCACACAGTCAGTTGATGGAGATGAGCATTAATTCTCTTTTAATGTTGCACATATATCAGAAATTGGCTTAAAAATGTAAAGGAAACATAAGATATGATATCACTGAGTTTAAAGGTCTTTTTGATCCAGTTAAGACTTACCACCAAGATCAGATGATTTGAATTGAGTTTCTGGAGTTTCTGGTGGCTTACGGTGCTTTCACACCTGCCCTGTTTGGTTTTGTTCTATCGCATCAACCTGCGTAGTTGTCCCTCCATTGTGACATTAGAAAGTGTCACATTTATCTTGCAAGTGTACTTTTCTTCAATGTTTGCTTTACTTCCTGGATTTTTCCCACATGGAAATTCTGACCAATCAAGAGCAGCTTTCTCACGCAAGGCATTTGACCTGGTCCACTTGTAAATGCTGCCGTGAGTACACGAACCAACTCTTGGCAATTATACAACTTTGTGACAAAATTAGTCCCTGATTCAGACCAAAGGAGACAACTCTAGGTCTGAGGGCACCATTAGTGGGTGGAGCCGGTGTCCCAAGTGCGGGGACAGTGTCCTTGCTGCAGCAGCTGTGCGGTGTCGTCTCCCTTCTCTCCCCCTTTCACACTTGAACTGTCCTATCTAATACAGGCAAAAAGCCAAAAAAATAATCGTATATATGGTATACATATGGCATTTTCTCCGCGCCAGTTAGCCAATCAGCCAATCAAAACACATTGAAAATGCAACAAATACAACATATAATACAAAAATCCA